TGTGAGAGAAACACGTGATTGGTTTCCTCCTGCACAAGCCCTGACCAGGACCTGGGCCTGGGAGGAGCCTGCAACCAAGGTACGTGCCCTTGACAAGAATCAAACCCAGGACCGTTTGGTCTGCAAGCCAGTGCTCTATCCACTGAGCCAAACCAGCTAGGGCTTGGAGTTTATATCTTCTTAGTCTACATTTACATGACAGTATTGCCAGTCTTGGTTGTTTCAGATATCCTACCCTATAATGTTTGTTTGTTTTGTTTTGGGGTTTTTTTTGCATTATATTCTTGAATATAGGGATCAGACCTATAAATAACAGGCATATATGCACCATGATTTTCTGTAAGAGGAGGCTGCAACGTTTTATTTTGTTTCTCTTCCCTTCCTGGTGATTGTAGAATTTTATCAGCCTTTAGTAGACAGGTATCTGTCCTCAGAGAAGAGTCTACAATGATCCCTGAGTTATAATGGATAACTCCAAGGCCATTACGCTGCAAGTATTATTTGGGTTATTTCTTCCTAAATGCATTGACTCATCCTTTTCTTGCCCTCTCTGAGGGTCACATGTCAATTTTCTGTCCACTAATGCACCTTCATGAGGTCTTCCTGCAGTTTGTCTCCTATCAGCTTGGCATTTTAGTAACCAGAGGAACTTGGGGTCATTGGCAAACTTGGGAATTTTATTGTGAACACATTGTTTTTAAAGATGTTAATAAGACCAGCCTTTGAGCCAATCCTTAATGCTAAGTAGTTGAAGAGGTCACTAAAATAAAATAGTTTATGGTGAAGAATTAAACCCTATATTTGTTGTCAGTACAAGAGACAGTTTTGAATCAATGTGATTTAGAAATGAGGTAAATCAGTTGTTGAATGTGGTGAAACAATATTTAAGGAGACCCTTAACTATTCATAGTAAGACCTGGTAGGAAACAACCACCTTTTTTAAAAATTGATTTTAGAAAGAAAGTAAAGGGAGCTAGAGAAACTTGGATGTGAAAGAAACATCCATCGGCTGCCTTCTGCACTCCCCCTACTGGGGATCGAGCCCACATCCAGGCATGTGCGCTGATGGGGAATCAAACCTGTGACCTTCTGGTATAGGGGACGATGCTCAACCAACTGAGCCACATCGGCCAGAGCACATGCTTTCCCTTTTTAAACAAAAGACAAAGAAGGAAAAGTCTCCACTGTATAGATTGGACACTCTTCTTGAAGATTCCCTTGCTTACAAACATCAACAGGACACAAGATGGGGAGGTCATTTTCCCTAACAATTGTAAACACCAAAATGTTTACTTAATACCCATGAGCATGACAGAGAATAAACTAAGAATTTCAACAAGATTTTATTTACTACCAGAAGACAACAAAAGAAAATTACAGAAAGAGAAACTGAATCTAGAGAATCTGGACTATAAATTATGAATTTTCCCCCTGACACTTAACTTGCTTTATCCAATCCAGATTCTGGATGAGTTCCAAAAGAGAGATGCTTTTCAGTACCCCCCTCTACTTACCACTCAGTAACCTGTTTTCAAATTCAGTTTCCTCCCTGGGGCCTGCCTTCTTTCCTTGTCAATAGCATCATTAAAGAAGGAATGCACTTTGTGACCATGAAACCTGACTTCACTCTTATAAAGTAAGTCATAATGGGATAATCATCATCTTGAAATCACAAGACAATCCCAACTTTTGTACCAAAGTTACACACATGTAAGTTCAAGGAGGAGCAATTTCCTTACAAAAAAAACAATTAATTAACTGTCAATTAATGCTATTTAAGTATTAATATCAATACATTATTATTCCAGTAATAGATATCATTAACTCAAAGTCAGGGCAAGATAATTTTCTGGGTAATACTTGAAGCAGCCACTTTTAGAGCCCTGCAAGATAATGGAAGTCATAACCGGTTCAATGAAAAGATAGATGGATGAATGGATACATACATACATACATAGACAGATAGATAGATAGATATAAAGATATAGATATATCTGACTGCTCTGGAATTTGGAAGGACTCAAAACAACTTAACTTGAATTTGTGAAAAAGCAAACAATTGTTTAGCCATACCAGGTCCACAGTTAAAGTGCTGATTGATGGGATGAATTTATCAAATGGCTGCTCTCTTTTGAACATTTTGTGGGTAGATAATTTTCTGGGTAATATTTGAAGCAGACACTTTTAGAGCCCTGCATGCCTTCCCTTCAGCTCATCTTGGCCTTAGGCGGTAGCTGTGGGGGACAGAGCCTGTGCAGGCTGCTAGTTTCTGGACACCTCCAAGTCCCTGCTGTGTCATTCCACCTTTCTTCATTCTGCTTGCACAGGGGGTGGCCCAGAAGCGGGAAGCAGTTAATTATCCCAAGGACAATGCCCAATCAACTAGACAAATGGCCTGGCGTCCTGACTCCAGTCCTTTGGAGGGACGGTTCTGAGTATTCTGAGCACATTCTACATGATTCCTCCGAGGATTCCAGCAGGATTCCACTTCTGTTGCACATGTAGAAATCAACTCAGTAAGATGCCCTCCATAGACTTCCCTTCCTTCCCTGTCTCTATGCTCCTAATTTCTAACCAGAAGCCCTCCCACCCACAGCCAAATAAACTAATTGCATCCAAAGTGCTTGTTTCAGTCTCTGCTTCAAGGTTACCTCAAACTAGCACAGTATCTGTATATCAGGTTTATCGACACACTTGTCATTAAACAGTCCATTTTTATACCTGAAAAAAAGACAATCTGTCATAACATGTAGCAATGTTAACCATGGGCAGCATGGGTGTTATTACCAAATAAAAGAAAAAGAACCCTGGCTGGTGTGGCTCAATTGTTTGGAGCTCTGTCCAGTGCCTCAAAGGGTCTTGGGTTCCATTCCTGGTCAGGGCACATACCCAGGTTTCGAGTTCAATGCCCTGTCAGGGCACTTCTCTCACATCAATGTCTGTCTGTCTGTCTCTCTCTCTCTCTCTCTCTCTCTCTCTCTCTCCCCCCCCTTCTCTCTCTAAAATCAATTAATTAAAAAAGCCACACATACCTTTGAACAAGAATTAAAAAAGAAAAATAACTTTTCTCCATTAAGAGTAATTTTGTGAAGTAAAATTATAGAAGAATTATCTATTATTGTTCAAAAGTTTATAATGGTCTCTATTATCCATGAATGAGTGAGATCATGTGGTATTTTTCCTTCATTGACTGGCTTATTTCACTTAGCATAATGCTCTCCAGTTCCATCCATTAAAAAATAAAAAAAAGAAGAAGAAACCACACACACAAAAAAAAAATTATAGAAGAATTACAAAAATAGATCACAGTTCTAGAAAAGTTGTGGAAACATATTACTGATTTGGTTTCAAAAAAAAGCAAATGTAACTGTAGATGAAAGATTTGTGGAAGAGAACTACACTCATGACAAGAAGTTGGATAACATTGCATTGTCATTATTTGTAAGTAACTATATACAAAAAGGAAAGTCTGTTAAAAAATTTCAAACTTTCTATGACTTGAAGGTAGGACAATGTTGGGGTGGGAATAATAGCATTATTCTTTTTCATAACCACATTTTGGACTGATTAAGAGGAAAACAAGGGGGAATCAAGCAGACAAATCAAAATACCACTTTCATTATCTAGACTTGATTATCGGCCAGGGACTTTCCTCATACTTACTCACTCAATCACTGGGAGCAATTTATTACCACAGGCATCCCAAAGTGGAGGAACATGCTCTGTAAAACCTATGGCAGGAGAAGTGAAACTCTATGTGTATTTTCTCTATACAGCTAAATATCAAGAGAAATGGCAGATAAGAGGAATAAACTACACTTGACAAGTTTCTCAACTATAAGATAAATTGCTAAACACAACTATCAAATAAGTTGCGTTTACCTCTTTAAGGGAAGAGTAAAGGTATGGGCAGGGGGTGTGAACATTACACTAATTAAATGCCTTTCACATGGAAGACATCTGGAGTGGGGGGGAAAGCAAAATATTTACCCCCAATAGACTGGGAATAAGTTTCTTTGGATCTGTCACTATCTGGAATATCACACAATCCCCTATGACCCTTACCATTGTCTACTTCTTGTTTCTGTGAGGAAAAGAATTTATTTGGCAAAGTGAATTTGAATAACATGGGAGATTACAAAGTAAATACAGGCCACAAATATCTACCTAAAAATTACTCAAGAATGAGTTATTCTGAATTCTTTAATTTGAATTAGAGTTCCTTGCATACATTTGAACTAGAGTTCCTGGGTAGCTAGAAGTGCAAGGATTTCCAAGAGCAGCCTATACGTGCATGTTTGTATGTAATATTTCATACATACTTTCTCGGGCAAACATTGCTGTTTGACCAAGTCAATATCCACTTCTATCCCCTCCTCTCTTGTTGCTTCCCATTATAGCAGGTAGGGAAACTAAATATTCACTTGGATACTCATGAATACAATAAGGCCATGTACTGGCAATTCCAGACAATGCTAAATCTGCATGCATTTGAATCCTTGTCTTAGAATATTTTTCTAGAGGAACAGCAGTGAGAAGGTGGTAATTCCTATACTACTGTAGCAACATAATAAAAGTTTTACTCATGATGAATTGGGATGGGATTGATGTGGAAGAGGAATACTGGTTGATGCAACATGTTTTGAGAGGCAAGGGGACAGTCCCAATGACACCTGTGAAGATGTCTGGGTGTTGTACCATTAAAGTGATGAAGGAAGCAAATCACATGATTATATCAAAAGGCAGACTGTGTTGAAAATCAGACTATGGATCTTATAGGAAATGTAGCAGTTACAAATAAAAGCTCAATTTACAATCCCCTAGCAAGTCCCTCTGCTAAATTCATGGCCCTAATAGAAACTGAAATCTGAAATAAGAACATCTGGGTACATACACATAAGAATCTTGAACTTCCCAGCTGGTCTAGCTCCGTGACTACCTATGAACCAAGAGGTCATGGTTTGATTCCGTAAGAATCTTGAACTGCCCAGCTGGTCTAGCTCCGTGGTTGAGTGACTACCTATGAACCAAGAAGTCATGGTTTGATTCCTGGTCAGGGCACATGCCCGGGTTGTGGGCTCAATCCCCAGTGTGGGGTCTGCAGGAGGCAGCTGATCAATGATACTCTCTAGTCATTGATGTTTCTATCTCTCTCTCCCTTCCTCTCTAAAATCAATAAAAAATATTTTTTAAAAAGAATCTTGAACCACTAAGTCATCTAAAACTTTGTAGCAAAAGCAACTCTCTTCTTGGTAGAGGACCATAGATTCCTCTTACCATGAAAAGTCATCACTTTAGATGCCCCATAAGATGTTGTCTGCCTTTCTGAGTATCTGTCACTACTTCTGCTAATGGCTTCTAGACAAGTGTTTACTATGCATCAGCATCACCTGGAATGCTTGTTAAATAACAGATTATTGAGCCACCGCCCCTATAGTTTCTGATTCAGTAGGGTCCAGGATGGGACTTTACAATTTGCATTTCTAAAAAATTCCATGTATTACTAATGCTACTGGTCTGAAAACTATACTTTCAGAACCACTGTTTTAGAACAATAATCAAAAATAACTCTCAGACCAGTCCAGATTAAGGAAGTACAGTCTCTGTTGGGAAGAAAGATGTTATTTACTAAAAAAGCCACAGACCCTGACTAATTTGCATCAGTAGGAACCAATAAATCATCCCCAAGAATGGATCTGAGGGTAGAGGATGGGAGAAAATCAGATATAAAGCAGCTTTGAGTTTGTTGATCTGCAGCCACACCCCTAGGACACTAGGAACAAAGAGGCTTTGAGTCCATCCAAACATGTTGCTGGGATAGCTCCTTGAAATGTAGAGATGATAGTGGTCTGCAGCAAATGAGATAGAATTGCTTTGGCAAAATATGGATGATGGAGTAAAAGGCTCAGAGAAATGGACATGTTAAAGTGAATTTATCATATACTAGAGGCCCGGTGCATGAAATTCGAGGACTGGAGTGGGGGTCCCTCAGCCCAGCCTGTGCCCTCTCACAATCCTGGAGCCCTGAGATTAATCACCTCAAAGAGGTAGGCCCTGCCCACCCAGCTGGGGTTCCTCAATGGATTGCCCCAAAGAGGGAGGCCCCACCCACCTGCCACAGCCTGCTGGTAGGTGGCCTGGGGCTCCCTCTTTGTACCTCCCTCTGCAGGGTGATCATAGGGCAATGGCCAAGCCCAGACCAATTGTATTGCACCCTCCTTGGCTTTCCTGGCACCAGTGGGTGTCATAGCATGGTTGTTCAGAAGGTTGTCAGGATGGTTGTTCTGCTGTTCAGACGTTTGGTCTATTTACATATTACACTTTTATTATTATAGATGAGTTGAAAACCCATCAGCTATGATCCTCAGGAGGGCCCAAGCATACTCCCTACATTAAAGCAATAAGGAAGGCACTAGCATCATTGAATAAGATGGCAGTCCTCTTTAAGTCAGTGATAAAAACATCATTTGCTCTTATGAATCTGGATCCTCTAGTTTCAATGGAAAAGATGAGATTTCAAAATAGAAGAGACCAGGTAGTAACACTTAACCTCCTGAAGCAAGATGGATGCAGGCAGCAAAACTGGATTGGAAACAACAGGCCCTCACCTGGAGAATCCATATAGAAATAGCTAACAGACCTTGGTGTTCCAAGATGCAAACTTGACAACGTATGTATTGCTTCACCTGTATAACAAAAACAAAAAAAAGATCAAGAGCAAGTAAGCAGAAGGATGATGTCAGTGCAATTAAATGTTAAGATCTTTCACCCAGTTTTCAGATCTCAGCCAGTTCTCAGACCAGAGCCCATTCATCATAGGGGAAGTCCACCTCCTTGAGGAAAGAGCCTGCCCACAACAAGTATATGCAATAGTGATCCCCTCATACATTTGCAGAGTGACCACTTAAAAGAGAAATTTTACATGCATATAAGTGGAGTACCCAAGTATTTATAGGGCTGTTGGACACAAAGACTAAGATAATACCAATATAATACAAATATTTTATAATGAAGGAAGTAAGTACATGACCACTGGACCCCCTCTCCTGTATATAGCATCATCCAGAAGGCGTAACTGTTTATTGCCTTCACTATCTGATAAGCATAGACAGAGAACCCCCCGAACCCCGCCCCCCTGTAACCAGGGGTCCTCAAACTTTTTAAACGGGGCCGCCCCCCCGTAACCAGGGGTCCTCAAACTTTTTAAATGGGGCCAATTCACTGTCCCTCAGACCGTTGGAGGGCCGGACTATAGTTTAAAAAAAAACTATGAACAAATTCCTATGTGTTGAGTGTTTCCTTCCCACGTCCCGCGTGGGTCAGGGTTCAGGAACTGGAAGCAGAGCCGCACACAAATGAAAGAGAAAAGACAAGAGATAATTTGAAATATTGGGGGACCAGATGGGCAAGTCCAATTCAAGGGGAAGGACTTCCACTGTGCTCAGGCCTCACCAAGCTTTTATTGATCTGGGATGCACCCATAGCATAGCCCTTAGACAGGTGACCCTCCCAGTAACAGGCAGACTAGCCCATCAGTAAGGATTTACTGAAGTAAAAAAACAAAATGGGAACAAATTCAATATTTGTATTTGCATGTGGCCCACGGGCCATAGTTTGAGGACTCCTGGAGCCATGTAGAAAACTGGAATGATCTCTTCAAGGTGAAGTCAATTGCTAGCTTGGGTTGCGATCCTGTAACAGGTGCTGTACTTTAAGATGGGCTAGAAACTTCTAAACAATGGCCATTTGATGGTGCTGAATCCATCACCAAGAAGTGAAGTAGGAATGGACTCTCACATAATTATTCCTAGTGCCTCATTTGAGGGAATTTGTTTTAAGCTCAGCAGAACAAGAGTTCATGATTCCCAGGGGATGAGTCTTTCTACCAGGAGATATAGTGAGTTTTCTAATAAACCTAAACCTGTAGCTGACACCAAGTTGTTTCAAGCAGAGAAAAGTCACGATGCTACCATGCTACCTGATTATCAGTCACTATATTGGCTGATATCAGATAGGGAGAGATGTGTCTGGAATTCAGGGAATTCTACTGAAGTACTTCTCGCTGTTTGCATGCCTGATGACAATCAGAAATAAAAAAAAAAAGTGAAAACTTACAGGAACCTAAGCCAGACAAAGACATAGTAAGTAGGAGCTCAGAACCCTCTGGGTGAAGGCTTAAGATGCTTGAGTGAGCAACCTAAATGAGCAAGTACTGTCTATGGCTGAGGAAAATCTGCAATATGTGATGGAGGAGGAAAATTAATGGATTTCAGTTACAACCACAACATTAACTACAGAAGTGGGATCTGTAATTTGTCCCACTAACCCTCTTGTGATAAATAGTTTTTTTGAGGTTTTAGTATTGTTTCTTTTTTTTTTTTTAAGTTCTGACCAAGCACAAATTTGAAGAAGCAGTGACTGAACAAGGTAAACTCATGTTGGGTTATGAGTCTAAGTGGATCCAGGTATAGACTATTGCAGATGCTGCTGAAACTCAGCCATATCCCCTCAGCCCCAACCATCTGTGCATGCCAGCCTGAATTCTAGCTACAGCACCCTCATCTCTCTGCCTGATACTTTCTATGGGCACCAAAGCCTGCTCTGCCACCACACAGAGCAGACAGAGTTCTTGAATATGAATGCCCCCAAGATCAACCCTCAACCCAAGACTGGTGGAAATGGTAGAGAAATACCTCAACTCAGTGCTCCCTTGAACAGAATAACTCTGAGGCTTATGTTCTACCCTGTTTCAAACCACATCATAAGTTGCTTGATGATGCACTCTTTATTGGCTGTTTCCCTTCCTGGTCTCACTTTCCCACTCCCCTAGTGGTGTTTCCACAGATCTTCTCCCAAATATACACATTCAAATATTTGTTTCTGGGCTGCTTCTGGGAAGAAATTCATGGTAAGATATACAATTTAACAGAATGGGAAGTAAAACGTTTCTTCCCTTTCTCATTTGGTATTCTAGAAGATCATCACCTAGGTTGCCCATCATCAACATAGGCTATCTGATGGATATTAGAAACTGTCATGTGACACTTGGGGACAAAGTAGGGGCAAGAAATAATACCTTCTCAGTCTTTCTGTGTGAGGTTTGTAAGAGATTTAGAAACTGAGGTGACATAACTGAGTCAAGAGCCAGAAGACTTGCAAAACTCTTAGGCGCCTTAGACCTGAATGACTTCAGTCAGAGGAAGAAATATATATATATATGATGTCTTAGCACAGAAAACAGAAGAAAAAAAGAAAAATATGGGGATCTCAAAGGGAAACTTGTCCATATAATTGTTAGTCTAAGATTCAAATCCACAACAATATTAATCAAATGCCTTAAATTATGACTCTATAGAATACCTATAAACAAGAGTATTATCATTGTAAGTCTAAAACAGAAAAAAACAATACAACTTATAAATTTATTTTACAGACTCCATCTGATCATTGGTATGAGATAAAGAAAAGATGAGGATAGATTAGGTCTTCCATATGGCGGGGAAGTAGAAGAGATGTCGATGATGAGGGAATGTGAGCACCACTAATGCCTCTGTTAAGGAAGCAGTGAAGTCTGGCTTTGACACCAGATGGGCTTGGATTTTAATCCCAGCTCTACCACCTGCTACCTGTGCAATATTTAGCAATTTATTTAACCTTCCTGATAATTAACTGGGTGTTGTATTGATGAACTGAGATCATATAATGTTTCAGGAAAATCATAGATGCCCAATAACTGTTAATCTTCCCACCCCATCCAAAGATATACTCTTTTCACATCTAGAAGAGGGAAGGAGTGGAACCTTAGGTAAATAAGACTAGGAATATATTCCAAGAAACCAGAAACACCAGTCAGAAAGGATATATGCATCCCTATGTTCATAGCAGCACAATTCACCATAGCTACGATTTGGAAACAGCCTAAGTGCCCATCAGCAGATTAGTGGATTGAAAAACTGTGGTACATCTACACAATGGAATACTATGCTGCAGTAAAAAAGAAGAAACTCTTGCCATTTGCAACAGCATGGATGGAACTGGAGAGCATTATGCTAAGTGAAATAAGCCAGTTGGAGAAAGATAAATA